AACCAAATTGTTTATTTATGTCAGACGTAAAATACCCAAACCAACGACGATGTAGTGCCAAATTTGCGATACTTCTGGACCTGCAATCACCAATCAGACTACCAGGCGTGGCGATTAAGACATTCTCGCTACAACGGAAGAGGTCTATCTCCTACAGTGAAATTTGCAAGTCGGTGAAAAAGATGAAAATGAGTAGGTACGTATATATGAAGATGCTTCACGTCGGTACTCTCTATATTTTATACCTCAAAAAATCTTTCAGACATCTTCTTTCCTTCCTTTCTAGCTTTCCTCTTACGAAAAACCGCAAGATTAAATTTATTGTAATATTCCCACTATCATATTGCGATTGTAACCAACCCATTCTCGTATCACGTGTAACATCAAATATGAATTTGGATACAGCGTAAGGTATACAAGCATAATCTCAACAAAGCCAGACCGAAATCAACAATTTGAGTTTTAGAACAAATGTTGACTCTGGCTTGAATTTTAGCCTAAAACTCCTATCTCTACACAAACTCTGACCACTAATATCAGATTTCTATATTTACAAAACGTTTTGTATTTCTCTTACGACCCATTCAACAATACAAAAGGGCCTTGAAAACATTATTTATAACAAAACCCTAGTTAGTTAGTTATACAACATAGAAACGGTTTGAAGTTGTTTCGCCATAAAAGTTCGTAATACGAATGGTTTTTACGTGCACTTCGTTTTATAATGAAACGGTCTCGTTGGTTTAGTAGTAGAAAGCGTGACCACCTACTACTGAGCATGTGGTCCCGGGTTGAAATCGCTGTTCTGACCAAAATCAGTTATTTCAAGAAATTCTCAGTAGTCCGGCGTAAGCACAAAAAGTAAAGCACGTAAAGCCGTTGATCCTGCGCCCTTTCCGGTCTTGTTTGACTGTCGTCCCATGAGAGTGAGGGTATAGACTGTCCCGTCCTGCACAGATGGCTAGTCTCCGTTGAGATTGCCGTAATCGAAAGTCGGTATAGGGGACATTATTATTATATAATTTAACCAAAAACGAAGCGTATCTTGCAAACAGATATCGGGCTTAAGACAACTAATTTCCCCGTGACCGCCTGCACTTAAAAAATTTCTATCAAAGGCGATAAAATAAGTAAAATTAATTTTATTCCACATTTTCTTGATAAACAAACTCGAATCCTAAAGTAGAAACGATGCCATCATAACATTTTATGGGACGTCTTATATTATGTATGTTATTGTTGCTTTCGCACCAAGAGCGCTATTACCATTCCTATACATTATTTTGTATGAATCCTAGAGAGAAGTTCCAAATGTAGTCGTCCCATGATAAGCGTTTTATCTGTACTCTATTGTCTCTTCATGTAAATACCAATATATTTATTCAACACCATTTGTGCTCTCGCCTTCGTTGGCACGGAATTATTTTCTTCGTTTGTTGTTTTAAAGACGAGTAAGTTGGTTCACTCTTTTTGTTATTACTTTAGGCATAATTTTATTTTATCTTCGGCTTAAGCCGAACACAAACATTAATAGTACATTAAAGTTGGTAAAAAATTACTTCGCGTACATCCGCTCGATAAAATAAAATGATGTGTCTTACCTAGTTTGAAGAGACCTCCCTCAATTGCGTGCACTATCACCGTCACCACTAATCCCAGCACCACTACTTCCAACACCACTACACTAGGAAAAGCACACCACTGACGACAATACGACACGTGTTTCGCCTCTACACAAGGCATCTTCAGGTGATCTAGACAGCGCGGTGGCTGACCGGTTTTATTTTATCGAGCGGATGTACGCGAAGTAATTTTTTACCAACTTTAATATAATGGACTTCCGTAAAGTAACGCCTGATTCTATTAATTATATTAATAGTATATATTTATACTTATATTATAAGATGTAATTTAATCATGAATACCGATCAAGTGCATGACGACTCTAATACCGAAGGTTTTGTAGAATACACAATGCTCGATTGAGACCGAAAACATATTAAAACTTAGTAACGTAAATATATGCACTAAGAAATACTAAAAAGTGAGTATACAAATTTTTTAAGTTTCTTGCTTTGTAAACTACAGTGATTAGGAGGAAACGATACTTAATTAGTTGTTTTTGACAACAATATACAAAGAATACGTATTTTGAAACTTTAAAGCTAGCCAATAAAAATGACGAATGAAATTGTTTTCACCAAAAGTACAAAAATACCGTTAAAAGAAATTCTACCAAAAACAAATTGCAATAACATACCAAACTCATTAAAAAAGTTTGGAATAGACTTTTGAAGTTACGAGCCTTAAAAAATTTTGCCTACAGAGAAAATAATACGAAGCCCGCGTCGGCATTACTAAATATAAATATGGCGTTATTTTCTCTGCTACTTTGGTTACTGTAGGTAAACTCTCTACATGTGTGCGTGCGGTATGAGACGTTTGTATTAAGCTTCTGCACTCTCATTCACTCTGTATATACTCCACAATAAATGTTTCTCGTGTATCATAGTCATTTTATACAACGACCATAATTATTTGCAGCCTACACAAATTCTTGTGCCGTGTGGGAATTGAACCCAAGGACCAAAACGCCGTAGCCAGTTGCTGGACTTATGTGCCGCCACGTAACAATTAATAATGTGTTACTTGTTCAATCAGATGTAATGAGAAAGATATGGAAATACAATGCATCCAAAACGTAAACGTAAACGAATTGACTCCTCCTAGAATTTCAACTTATGACTTCGACTTAAGAGACATGTGCACTGAACATAAAGTCACAAGCCAAGATGCCTTATTTAGAGGTTAAATGGTAAGTTTAACGTATAATAGGTAATTTGTTTCCAAGCGGAACAAGGTCGCGTTTAATATAGATTAATTTCTATTGCCTTTGCAAACAAATTGATTTAATTCAAGGCTCGCATTAATTATTTTGATCGTCCCCAATTCCATTGTAAACATCCATCCATCTATTTTCGCGTTTACCTAGGGAACCCTTGTTGAATTGTAATTCACATATTTAACAGGTGAACGAACTGAATGATAATTATTTTAAGATGTTGATTTCTAACGTTGCTGCCTATAACTAGGGGTTTATAATAGCGAACTACAATAGGCCTTCCGTATAAATTGTTAAACAAATTAGGTAACATAGTTTCTTTGCTTGGTAAGTAGTAAGAAACGATGTTTCCAGAAAAATATATTTTCTACCGACTTCAAAAAGGAGACGGTACCTACTCAATTCAACTGTATGTTATTTAATGTGTGTTACCGATTTTCGATGATTCTTTTTTTATTTGAAAGCTGGTGCTTCTCATGTGGTCCCATATAACTGTGATCAAGGTCTGACCAATGGTTTTTTAGTTATTATAAATAATTTATATTGAAGTCGGTTGTACAAAAATTTTAATTTTAAATTATTTTTAATGGATTATTGCACGACGCCACCTCACGTCGTTATCTTTACTTTCGTCCTCGTAACGACTATAAATTTATATAGTTTTTATTTATAATTATTTTATATTTTATATAAAATCTTCAGTCTTTATATAAAATAGAAATATGAATATATATTTATATTTCTGCGATTAATAGCAGCTTAATTCTGTTGTGTTTCAAATAGTAGTGAGAAGAATTGAAGGTCTGTTATATTTGCAACGATGCATTCCAAGTTGTTCCGTAGGTTGTAACAAAGTATCTGAGTTTGGTCCAACAGTAAATTATTCAATATAATATCAAGTAATACCTATAGTAGTAAGTGTGTGTAGGATACATTACAGACTCTCTGAAATGTTTCCTAAAAATAAACACAGTATATCACAGGTTAATACCTCCTTATCGAAAGTCTTAATAACATCTTTGTTTCTCTTAAGTTATTGCGGAGCGAAAAATCACTTACCAGATTAAGTTTTCATGTTTTTTAATTCTTCAGATATTTACAGTATCATATACTCATGAAAAGTAGAACAAATGGCATTTTGCGAACAATAAGAACAAGTAGCGAGGTCATTGCTACATACTGTTTAATTGTGTTCACTATCCCACACTCATTAGTCGAGTTTTGAAGGTTACTTAAAAATGCATGAGAACCCATTAATCTTTTTACTAATTTATTATCTATCTTTTCGAATGAATTTTGGGTCTTTCAAATCACGTTCTCAACCTTCAAAAATAGATATTTAAAAAATGTATTCACTTCCATTTAAATATATTAGTTATTTTTTTTATTAAGTGGTAATGCTAATTTCATATCCGCTGTCCGGGTATTACTTTTTTTATAAAGTAAGTGTGACAAACGAGCATAAAGTGGATATTTATCTTCGGATGGGAATTAAAAATGTAAATATGTTCTCATCCGTAAGACTAAGATAGAATGCATTGTCAGCGGTAAGAAAGGTCTCTGTTTCTTCGTTACCCGTTTCCATACAAAGCCCAGTAGCATTGCAATGCTACTTTATGCTGGTATGTTTCTTATGATGGTGTATTTCTGTAAGACCGTGATCCTTTATTAGTTGAGCCGATCCATTCCTGACGCATCTATATCATAGCTGAAGCGAAGGCTCTACCATGTTAGAATATTACAGTTTTAATTCTTGTGTAATCTACGCAATATTCGTTATACCAATGCAATATTATGGTAAACCATAAAGCGTATATACTGGGGAGTATAATAAATTCCTGCATTCTGTCAAAAAGGATTTTTTTTTTCAAAACTGCTATCTAATTTCAAAGTTTTTTAAAAAAAACAAAGATATCATTATAATGAAATACGCTCTTGGCTGGCTGACCACTTCTGGTTATACCTAGTTAGGTCATGAATTCTGTCACATGTTTAATATGAAATAATTGAAACAAGTTTATTCATTATGTAACCATTTATATACCAAAATGAACTTAACAAAACATAGATTCTTATGACACTAAAGTTTATTCAAAATGACCTCCGTGATTTTGAATACAGACCTTCAATCTGCGCGGCCAGTCGTCTATCGCAGCACGAACGAGGTCCATGTCAATATCGGCGGCTGCCTTAATCAAAGATGTCTTGAGTGACTCCAAATTGGGATGAGGCTTTGAGCACGCCTTTTCCTCCAAGTGTTGACATATCTTGTAATCTAACGGATTCAAATCTGGACTGGAGGAGGGCCAGTCTTCATGCCGGATGAAGTCGATTTCACGCGCCGCCAGCCAGTCTTGTGTGCTCTTCGCTCTATGAGCTGGCGCCGAATCTTGTTGGAATACCCAGTGCCTGTTATTGAACATGGTATGAGAAACAGGTTCCACAAGGTTCGTCAGGACTGTATTTTGATACACAACTGCATTCGTTTTTACAACTTTCTCACAAAAATGTACCTCTGTTAAGCCCCAATAAGAAACTCCCAACCATACCATGGCCGAGGATGGAAAATGACCTCGTTGGACACGCGGAATACGGTTGCTCGCTTCTTCACTACTGTGTGCGTACACCTTATCATTTTGTTTGTTGTAGCTCTCTTCTACGATAAAAATTTTTTCATCCGAAAAAAGAATTTCCCGATATTTTTTTCCCGCGTACCGCTTCAACAAAGCGCGGCATCTCTTCAGTCTCAGGTCCATTAGACGAGCATTCAAACGATATCCTGTTTTTCTTCGATATGCCCGAAGCCCTAAGTCTTCATTTAACACCCTTTTCACCGTGGTTCTGCTTAACCCCATCTGAAGGGCCAACAGTTTCTGCTTACGTTTGGGATTTCTTTGAATTCGCGCCTTCACAGCTTTTATCACTGCTGGAGTCCTAACAGACCGAGGGCGACCACTTCTTGACCTGTCATCTACACTAGAGTCTTCATTGTATCGTTTGATGGTACGATAAACGAATCTTTTGGTTATATTCAAATTATTCAGTATGTCAAAAATTTGAATTGGCGCGTAACCGCAACGATGCAACGCAATAACTGCAACACGGTCTTTTTTAAGCGTCCACTCCATATTTAAAAATGAGTAAAATTCTAAAAAGTATACAGTTTTATTTTCATGAACAATTCGAAATTGGAATTCAATAAACTTTTTTGTGGCCAGCATTCTTAAAGAAAAGTTTTTACTGTGTGACAATACTTATGACCTGACTAGGTATATATATATAAACATCATATCTGGATCACATCTAGATATACAAACATCAAGATCTTTGGATACTCAGTTAAGAAGTTGCAGCCCACTGAGTCGCGTGTTCTAGAGTAGGAACACAGTCAAGCAAAACTACTAGACGAAACACAGACTTACATAACTAGGAAGTCATTAAGCTGTTAAGGAAGATATTAAGCTACTGTAAACAAGCAACACAATATATAAAACAATTAAAATTATGCAAGGTTTATTTCATCATTATGTCTTCCATTAAGGGAAGGTCCAGATTAGACTAGAATCTTTATTGATAAAATGAACCGGCGCTATAATTTCGCAATGCACTCAAATTTTTTCGACCTTTGTTTGTATCGCCATGTTAGGAATGGTATCGTGAGAGTTTCGATTAGGTCACGGTTGATGTTATGTCGAAATGAAATTTAAATGCATCTTAAAGGTGTAGTAATTTTCCAAAAATGATTATTACAGAAAATGTTACTATTCTGACCTCCAACAACTTTTTACATTTCGAGTTCGATTTGCATATTTAAAACAGCTATCTATCAAAATTTACATCAGTATGAACGTAATATAAAAGTGTAAAAGTATGCAGGTGTGGACAGTTTTAATTTCAAACGTTAAAAATTATAAATTTCTTTGAATAAACTCATGTGTGTTTTCCAACACTACATTTGAATGTCCTTCGCCATAGTTTTGATAATGCATATATGAAAGGCGATTAAGTTACACAGACTAATACGTCATTCGTGTCAAGATTTATTTAGAAATATAGAGGATCACAATAGACGTTGCTCCGTCTCTTTCATGTATGTATAATAATTTAATGTAAAATTTATGTACATTTAGCATATTTGAAAATTATCTAAAGGCTATCGAAGGCTTTTAATATTAACCCCTTTTTCAACTTCCTAACGGTTGTCTTATTTAATACTATAGATTGTTGCATATTAAAAAAACTTTTTTGATACACAAATAAAATATATGCACTTATGTCCGAAATATTACATGAAATATAATTGAATGACGCACCGCACAATACAGTAGCCTACTTCCGATCTTATAATATGAGCGTTGTATTGGACTCGAGTAGTTTACAAGTGCGTGCTTATGTGTTTGCAAGTACACTCATCGCACTGTAAATGCTTTTTACGTAGTTGAAAGATCCCAATATCATTCAGAGGTCATCGCTTTAGTCAAATCAACGAATAAAGTTTAATTGGAACGTAATTATTGAATAAGTGCGCACTACAAGCTCAGAACCGTGGTAGGTCAGATGGTTAGCACTCCCAGTAAGTTTCACAGTAAGCAAGCAACCCGGGTTCGATCCCCGCCGGCACCAATGAAATTGTTAATTGCAATTTTAAGTGCTGATTTACCACGTGCTCGGCGGGGAGGAAACCTACATATCTGAGGAAAAAAACATATTTCGAAGACATGTGAATTTCGCCAACACGCCTTGGGGATTCCTTGACATTTCCTTGCCCTAAAACACTCTCAGAAATGTGAGGAGGCCTGTGTCCAGCAGTGCGACGCTGTAACTTTAACTTTTTAACGAACAAGCTCTGATCAAATTATAAGCTCTGTATTTCACAACAATGGTTCTTTAATTAGTTCTTTATTCCTTAGTCCTTTTACTTTAAAGTTTAAAAAGGGTTCTATATTAGACGCGTATGTCTTTTGACCAAGTATTTATTAAGACACTTTCTTGTTTGTCCGTCTGTCTATCTGTCTGTAGTTCCGGATGTAATTCAGTAATTGGTTTTAAACTAACTTTCCGATGAGCTAGAAACTTGAAATCTTGAATAAACAATGATGACAATGCAAGAATATAATGAAAAAAACGTGGTATATTAAAAACTTTTAATAATTTTTTTTTAATATTCACTTTTTATAAGTGTTAACGGAATTCTCGGAAACGGCTGCACTGGTTTAAATGATTGTTTTTTTTTATTAAATAGCCTAGACTTCAAGGGTTATCCCATTTAAATTTGAAGAAAAATTTGCCCCTAAGTATGGAAAAATAGATGAAGTTCTTATTGTAACGATTTAAATAGTTAGTTGCTACCTTCGTCTATCGACATTGCTTAGTCCACTGAAGAGGGTAAAACTACTAATGATGAAATAAATTTTACACTATAGTTTTTCTAGTGATAGTAATAATCTATTTTCTCTTTCGAAACACTTATATAGTTACAATTATCTATCTCGCTTGCACACCATTTACACTACTGTATTTTTAACTTACACTTACGTACCCATATTGTTGCCATACTTCCGTCACCTTGTACATTAAATTTACGTTCCAGTTAACTTTTATTCTATTATCTACTATTTATTATCTATTATCCTTACATTTCAATTAACCTAGCAAATGAGTAACCGTGTAGTGGCGGTGTCAGTATACCTATTACCCTATATCGTCCCGTGAGTGTGGTAAGAGGGGACAGAGGGAAACTAAAACAGGAGATGGGCAGCAGTATCTTCCTAATAACAGCTGAATAAAATTAAAAAGCTGCGGTTGCCAACTTGCCAGATACGCGTGGCAACTATGGCAAAATCCCGCCTATGAGGTAATCTATTGAGGAGACATATTATGTTCAGCAGTGGAATGAATTCGGTGTTTTAATGAATTCAGAAATCATTTTATACTTTTTGGTATTTTTAATTTTGAAGCAAATATCAAGCCCATAAAAAGCCTAAATCAAGTAAATCGAAACCAACCACGATCACTGAATACCAATCGAAACTTCAAACATCAATAACTGAGTAATTGTGCAACTACATGGAATTAAAATTAACACACTTTAATACTGTTTTTTGAAGTTTTCTGATTAAAAACTAAGACGAAATCTTAATATCATTTAATAAACTAAATCTAGCTAAACGTACGTATCATACGAACTTCAATACCGATACAGTAAGTGCCTACATTCAACATATTTTTATTTGATATAATGTCAAATATATAATAAAAGTTGAAAATAACTTCACATCACTAGTAAAGTATGTTACGGACTTCATTTTGAGATATAAAAGTAAGTTGAAACGGTAATTTCGTAACGATGTGTAAAAGTCGTCTTAATTTGCATTATTTTCGGATTTTAGTCATCGATGTCAAAAGAGGCCCTGAACTATGTTTTGCTCTTTAGAAAATCCTTGAAATAGCAAACTGTTTTACAAAATATGTAATTCTTAATCTCGTATTTCACGCCGTAGTTCTAATAACAATTTAAAAAGAACATTAATTTAATGTGTTAAATTAACCTGTTTGTTCTGTATTAGTGTTAATAATTATCAATCACGCAACAGAATGAACAGGCAAACAATAAATGAACAAGTAACTGTAATATAACAGCACAATATCTGCTATCATTATCCAACATTCACTTTGTAAAAACAGAGAACATTATTTCGCAATTTTCTCATAATCAGTAATGGGAAACGCAATAGGCCGCTGCAAGCAAATCCTTGTACGTAATAGCTGTATTGACAGGATATTACATTGCATACAACCAGAGTACTGAGTACTCAGACCAGTCTAGACAAGAGTGCTTATTACCCACCTACCTAAACCTACACTTAACTATAAATTTAAAGCACAAAATGCGCCAAAAATGTCTCCTACTATTTGGATGAAAATTTGTACTAGATATTTTTTTCGCCAGTTTATCTTCAGTCTAGTTTTATTAATTTATTTTGCCATGGACTGTTTCTATATAACCAAGGTACGTAATAAATGTAATTAATAACATTTCATTTTATAACTGACCAGGCTTCAGCTGCATTTTGGCTGAAGGTTGGCTCGACCATGGAAGTACCAGGTTCTCACAGAATACCAGCGTGCAGCATAAAGCGTTTTAAGTCGAATGGTGAATGTAAAGTATCGGAGACCGGTAACAAGGCTTTCCGTCTTATTTCTTAGGTATCACAAAGCATTTTGATTCTTACTTGACCACAATACTTACTGGGCCACAGCTCGCTGCGTCCTCTTTTGTCTCTTTTACTTGTATAAAAATATTATTTAGTAACTCAATACTTTAGCTAATTGTAAAAGCATACACTTCTAACAAAAATATACAGATGGCATTGTAATTTTTTTTTAATTCTAGATATTGTCACGCTCAACACCCGTGGTCGAG